ATCTTTCCTTGTTAGATGCTAAGGCTAAGCAAATCTGATTCTAATACCAGTCCCTCTACTGGTTGGGGTGCTATGCAATAAGTCTTTCACACTGAAGCATGACTTTACATAACCCACCATATGGAATACCGCACAGTATTCCTATCTTGGTTAGCAGAGCAACCATATGCAGTTGCCATGTGTCCACAGATTGGGTTTAGAGTTGTGTTGTACATTTTTATGTATGTTTAAGTAGGAACTGCGAGGGTCCTAGGCTGAGAGTTGTTTTAAAAGTTCTTTTGGTACTCTTACTAGAACATCTCAAAGTACCTGTTCAGGTTTGATAATTTGAGATAGCATGGACTCATTTAATTTACATTTACATGTATAAAATCACTAAATAAGACAATAAATGGACTCCGAGGTATAAATTCCAAATATTAATGGAATTTGATGACATTCAACTTAAGGACAAAAAAAAAAAAAAAGAGAGGTAATAGCGCATGTAACAAAACATACAACAAATATTATAGTACTTAGTTAGAATATAAAAGAAACAAGATTTGGTTTGTTTGTATTATGAACTTTAAAAGAATTAATTCCTTAAAAGAAATAAAGTAAATAGCAGAAAACTCATATCAGCCAACCTAAGCCAGTACTAGTTGGTATTTGCCTGCCCTACAGACTAGCACATGTGATAAAATGAAAAACAGTTTGGTATGCCAAATGGATTCGACAAGGGTGGTGCCCACTCCTGTTTCCTTTTAAACCAGCACTTACAGGTTGGGATAGCTGATACATTACATTATTGGCAATGATCGGTTGGGCGTTTCAGCTTTTCTATTATATAACCTCAAAGGGGCTGGGCCTCATTCCTTTTGACACTCTTTTACATGTGTCTATAAGTTAGCTAACTTGTTCAAAATTTCGAATAAAAAATAAGAGTTTGATTTAAATGTAAGCACCCAGTAAAAGCCATCTACTAACTAATTTTATATCTTAAAAATATAGTAGCCATCACATGGACGTACTGCAGGTTGTGAGGCTAGTAACAAGTATAACCAATACGATTTTGTACGGCAATTGCTTGTAGATGGTGTGTTTTTCAGAGTAAAGAAGATGTTTCTCAAGCAGTGTTAATTCTAAAAGGAAATACCATTTCTTAAGGCAGTTATTTTATGAATGAAGGGGATTTTCCTGATGGATTCTTATGAGCAGTTTTATAAGGATTTTCACTCAAGGATAGTTATGAACAGTTTTATAAGGAGCATTATTAGTGGAGACTAAAGTTTTTAGTTTGTCAGGGATTAGTATTAAGGAGACTAGTGTCTTTGAATGCCGCAGATGAGGTTTGAGCTGTGCTTAGATACTTTATCAGGCTTTAGCTCTGGATAATTTCCCTGTGGCTATTTAAATTGGAGTTGTGTCGCAGATGATGTTAGGTACTTGTATTGGCACCCTACAGTTTGTAACTAGACCCACCTACTTTTTTGTAAACTCCAAAACCCAAGTTTATACTTTGAACATTTTTTTATTAAAAAAAATAGAACTGAAAAAAATGAAGTTACTTTGGGCCTTGGCTGCCACTCCTGCCGGCTCTAGTGCCAGTGTGCCTCCCGGGTGACAGGTCCCTCCAACCCCCCAACCCCCTCGTCCCCTGACTCCTCTCCCTCTTCCCCTGCAACCATAATGCTTTTGTTGCAGAGGACAGGAGTTGGGGTTGGGGGACTCACAGCCAGGTCTTTTAATTTTTCTTTCTGTTTCTTTTTTTCTTTTTTTAAATTTTATTCAAAGGGTAAAATGGGAAGTTTTGGGAAAAAAATTAGGTGTGTGGGTATAGTGAGTAAACTGTAGTGTACCTACAGAATTTCCCATCATGTTATGACTATGTTATTGCCAATGTTATGTTTATATTCTACATGCTTTGAAGACTTATGATTTGGATTAGTAATTTAGAGTTTTAGCCTTCCAAGTTTAGTTGGTAGTGTGTATAATGCTCATACTATTAGTGCCACCTTAAAGATTAGAATAGTTTCTTTCCGCCAGAATCCTTTTGTTGTTGGCAATAAGATATTCCTTTCAGTTATAATTGCTAACTAATGTTTGGGTTGTTGGACAAGATTGACAGTGTCATGATTATTAGGAAAGTGGTGATAGATTGTGGAGTGCCTTGTGGAACTTGTGAATATCGTTTTGAATGATGCTAGACTGAAAATGAATTCATATTGGGTGTTGTTTTCAAGTTTCCTTTAGGTTTGGGAATTGGGTGTTAGTATTTGGCATCGCTATATGTCTAGTGATATCCCTTTGAGGAGCACCTGTTTCTCTTTAAGTTTGGCTACTAACAAGATTGCATTTCCAAGTTCTATGGGTGGAAGGGAAAAGTTCACGGAAGGGGAATTAATAATTGGGTTCTAACTTATAACGGGATTGCATCATAGTTTCTGAAAGGTTTATGGTTTCAAAGTTCTTCTTGAAGTGACATATCAATGATTGATCGGCCACCAATTTATAATTTGTCAATATGTCTGAATACCCATATATTCAGGGGTCGTGGTGTACCAGTTGTCAGAACTGTGCAGCTCATTCTGACGTGGTAGTTTCTTCTCAGAAAAACAAAATATTAAAATAAATTGTTGCTTAGCTGTTCCGGTTTGTAATTTTCGTTGGTAGTTTGGACTCCATTATCTTCTGCTTTTGTTCTGGAGGATCCACTTCCTCCTTTAGTGAGTTACCTTCACCTTTTATTGATGTTTCATTTCATTTTTCAAAGCTGGTATAGGAATAGGATTGCGTCACCGGCTGTGTAGAAAACTTCTTACATAGTTTGTTTGACTTTGCATGATATTGAGATAACAGCATGATTAAATAATCATTTTCTGTCTTGTGTGATTTGGGTCTAAAAGCTATTTGGATTAGCAACTAAAGATATCTTATTTATATCATATGTGTTGCCGTTGCAGGAGCTAGAGAAGGTGTTGCCAAGTGCACCACCTCCCGAGCCAAAGTATCAGCTTCGTAGAACGACGTCAGCTCCATTCTAAAATTTGTATCTATATGCATCAGCTGCTTGTGCTTTGCTTATATCCCTGTGATGAGGTTTTCCTTTTATTCACTTCTTTGTGACATCAGTCGCATTAGGAATTTTCATGGGACTTTTGTGTAATCTCACTATTGTCTGTAAGACTTGTCCAGAAAATTTTAGCGTTGCGTTTTTTCAAAATTTGTTCAGTTTATGCTCTTTCTGCATGCTGCAACTCATGCCACCATTTAGATCTAGTTCATGCTCGCTTCTTAAAACAATAGAACTCAACTAAAATCTAAATAGCAGATGAACCTTTAAGGACAGATTTTTATTTTTATTTTTTGTCTCCTACTGTACGAGTGATGAAAGGGATACATTACTGTTTGGAGCCTAGGATTGAATTTTATTGTTTGGAGCCTAGGATTGAATTTTATTGGATAACTCAATAGATTTAAGGCATGTTGAGGGAAGAAATGAAGAAACTTTGTTAAAGGTAGAACATGAATTACTCATGAAAAAAGCATAGCACATTCAATCTAGAACAATGGTAGGATATATCAACAACTTATATTTTATCCTTTCTCATCCTCGAAATTAAAAATCCTCTACCTTCATTTCCTCCTCTAATATATCTTGAATCCAGTGAATTATCTAATCTAATCCAATCCTAGGCACTGAACAAGCCAACCAGACAATGTGTTGATATTTTAATCCTACTTCTTAAGTGACATGGATGTTACAAGGCAGAAACAACTTACATCTACTCTGAGCAGGGCTCATCACTTGTGATTTTGCACTCCACTCCATATTAGAGGGGGAAATCAGGATTCTTGGGTTTTTAAGAATCCTCTTGGCCTAGTATGAAATAAAAAAGCTCAAACTCATGAACAAAGTCATATGGATGCAATCTGGTATCAACTTTTTGGTTCTGCACGAGTAAGTTCAGAACGGGACCTGGTTCTATGACCGCTTTAGTGGATACATCTGCATTTTCAAGCAAGGATAGTGATTAGCTTGGCAGTAGAATGACAAAGGTAAACCACGTCTTCTATCTCTTACAAACCTACCCGTGTTCAGAGGCAGACACCCTTGGATGGCTCGGAAACTTGAATGGAAACCCTGGTAGCTTGACATACCTTCTCCCAACTCTATGAAGTTCATTGGATTCTATAGAAAAGAGACTGCCGGATTGTATGGAAGAAAGAGTACCTGACAAAGATAATACATTGTTGGCCCTTTCTTTTACAACTTAAGCTTTTGGGGTTAGTGGTTGTCTAACGTGGTATCAGAGCCTTTCTTTTCAAGTGGTCCTCTATAAGTCCCACATCGGAGATATACAATATAGTTCAAATATAGGTGGTCCATTATTAAGTTCCACATCGGAGACATTTTAAGTTAAAACATCACACCTAGAGATCCATTGAGCTTAACCTCACCCAAAGTATTATCTTTTATTTTTTCACAAACTGAGACTCATGTCCAAACTCTTCTGGTTCTTCCTATCACCACAAAAACTCAAATAGAGAAATTTTACTTTAGCTTAGATTTAATACTTCTCATTTCTAAGAATGAGATAACTTTCAATGGAAATTGAACCCAAATCGGGAGGACCAAAATTCCAACGGTACTTGTCCCCTGTTGGTTGTTATGTTCTTTTGGATAGTTTAGATATTTGTGAAGTGTAAAACTATTGAAAAGGAAAATAAGCATCCACAATAGTAGATGGAGGAAATTGAAAAATAGGGGCAGCAGTATCAGTCTGTTGTCAGTTATCTGTTATGTACTTCATCTAGAAAAAAATTATTATGTGCTTATTTTTGGTTCAGGAAGCAATGATTATTTTTGCCCTTATCACAAAGACAATCTACTCAGATCAAAATTGTATTTGTATTTTTGTTTTCATATCTGAATTCTTTTTTGATAACATTTTGCACACTATCATATAAGGATTAATTCTTAGAAACAGAAATCATCAATACATGATTTCTGAAATGTTTCAGCTTTAGATAATTTCAACTACAAATGATATACAAGCTAGTGAAATTCCTATTCAAATCCGTAAACTCAAAACAGTTGGTTCACAAAAACTTCATATGCTATTATGAAGCCATCCACCATGGGATATGAAATTGAAACCAAATCTTCAGCAGAAGAACATGGAGTTGATCACATTAGCATGAAGCCGGGGTAATTCAGGCACGGCCACACCACCAGCAACAGTCACACCACCACCATGGCTTGAGGAAGTCTCAGACATATCATCAAACTTGATGAACTGTGAAATCTGGGCGGCAGCTAGATGGGCGTAGCAGATTGGAGCAACTGCAGCAAAGAGAAAACGGCAAAGGTAAACACTAAAAAAACAGAGCAAAAAAATAAAAATAATGTGACTTAAAAAATCAACTTCTAATCTTTAAATGTCTTGCCATTTATAACTCCACAATTGTTCAGACAACGATTTCAAATAGGGTATGATTTTCTATACAGAAAATAGGCTGTCAAGTGACAAATATTACTAGTGCAGCTACAAAAAATTCAAGCAGCAAGAGTGAAATTATAATTTATTGGCTTCCTAAGGGCCCGTTTGATAACCATTTCAGTTTTAGTTTTTTGTGCTAGAGTATAGAGAAAAAAGAAGGAGAATGAAAGTGAGAATGAGAGTGAAGATGAGATTGAGATGAAAGATGAGAGGGGAGGATGGGAGGGAGGAGTAACAAAAGTGAAAACAAAAACTAAAAACTGAAATCTATTTGAAATTGTTTTCACTTTTTCTACTCCTCCCTCTCATCTTTTCCTCTCATTCTCTCTCTCAATCTCATCCTCCCTCTCATTTTCCTCTATACTCTTGCATAAAAAATGAATACTAAAAACTAAAAATGAAATAGTTATCAAACAGCCCTAAATTTTTCTAAGCAGTCTATAAAAGTTGAAGGCAATTACATAAAGGTCTACAAATCAGGATTATGTATATTACCTACAGAGATGGCTGTAGTGCTCCTTTGGTACCTGTACAGAATTCAAAGCAAGGTTGTCAGGTTTGAATTTTACTCCAATAACTTATTTTTCCCCAGGTATTTGTATCTTGGGACGTAGTTGACTATTCCTCTCTTTTTCCTTACTAAATCTGAAGGACGAGTATACTACTTACACATATGATAGAGAATGAACAAGTTCTTGCAAATCATCTGCTGAAAACCCAAGTTCATCGTATAGAACATGATAATGAGTAGGTCGAGTAGTCCCCTACATAAACAATCCAAAGTCGGTTGAATTTCCATTCAAAGTAGCTCTCAATAAGATAATACCGTCTAAAACAATTCAGCAGACATGACAATGTCCAGGCACTCAAGACTTAATTATTTGTTTATTCCTTCCTTAATAAACAACAACATATCTTCATCAAAAAAGCAACAGGTTTTGGTTTAGATTACTCACAATCATCCCAGCATGAGAACACAAGTAGAAATCATTGTTCTTTGGATGGCAAACTTTGTTGTCAATAATTGTGCCTGAGTTTAAGTAATCAAAAGATAAACATGATTTAGAAACAGAAGCGCAGTTTTATGTTCTTTTCTGTTCTGAAAATTGAACTGATGGTAAAATGACTAACCAGCTGGCACATTTTCAGTAGAACTAGTCTGGAAAAATTTTGTATGATGATTCTTCTGAGCAACAATAACCATGAACTTAGGAGACCAGCTCTCATCAAGGAATTTGCAGGCCTGCAAAACATAGAAAACCCCACGAAGTACAGTTAGAGATTTACTCTTACAAATAAAGCATATAGAAAGTAAAATGTAGATTGGCCACCTGAATAATCTGATCCAGTTCCAAATTCAAGACTTGGTTGAACTGTGATTCACTCACTCCATCCCTAAATAAGAGAAAAAACAAGAGATAGGAAAATCAACAAGGGTTACGCATGATCTCACAACCTTTGCAAAACTATGGTAAATGATACAATACAACATTGTTAATCACTGAAACCAGTTTTTTTTAGCGTATAAATTCTTCTATTTGTTGAAAAATTATATCAAATTGACTAGCCTGTTTCAAACTACATAGCAAAAAATCAATAAGATGTTGACAAAATGGTATAGAAAATAATACACAGCCATATCAATACTGTTGGGTGTGAAACACTAGCCTTTCAAGATATGAGATTAATAACAAACTGCAGATCGTTAAGAATTAAATGTATTACACTCATAAAAAAAAACTCAAGATCCCTTCCTTTTTGTTCATTTTACTGAATGTTGTGGGACGACATAATAGGAAACAGAAAGACAGTACTGGGAGCTAATTACATCGACAGAAGGGCCAATATATAGATTGTATTCTAAAGCTTTTAAGTACCCGTATTATTAATGCACTTGTATATATGCGGCTCATTGATCTAATAAAAAAAGGCCAACGTATGACATTCTAATAATTTGCGTAATTTACACATCAAACATTCAAAGAGTTCAAAATGAATTTTATAACTCTAACGCAAGTACCGTATTGAATATATTAGTAATACCACACCTGAAAATAATTATCTGATCAGGTTTCCTGCTATTTGAAGTAGCATAAAAGTCTAGCAACAATTCCCTGCAAAGAGCACATACATTAAATGTTGCAGAACTGTTAATAATTAGACAACAGAAAAAGGGATGCAATATATAAGAGTTTCAGAGTACATGTAAGAGTGGCGAGAGGAGTCAACCTGATTATGCCCGCGTCATCTTTATCTGATACAGGCTTGAACAGAGAAGCAATCATTTCTACTTTTGGCGATTGAGTACGAACTGCAGCTCGGTACCGGGAAATCAAGGGCCAGTTCCTGGAACTCACCACCTACAAAACATAGAACATGATATAGCAGCAACTCCCACTGTGAGTATGGAGTAAAATTTATGGAAAATAACATGTTTACGAAATGTTCAGTTTAAGGGACAAGTGTTACCGCTGCAATAGAAGGCACATCTGAACGCCCAGGTGAGCCGTGTGACACATCCATTCCCAAAATCAGAGTGGGGCACTTAGAAACCAAAGGTATTGAAGGAGAATGCTCCACTTGTAGCAAGGAATTCATTCCACCCAGCTACACAAGTGCAGACAAAACAAGGGAAGACCAAAATCAATGCATGAAACGTTAGACACAAATAGTAGACAACACAAGACAATTTCCACAAATGATATTATTGTAACTGAAACATACCTTTGCATTGATTTTCAGGAGCACATTTGTGATGTACTGATCATTAAGTTTTGCAGGAGCAATGCACTGTGTTACAATCCCAAGCTCAGAAAGATTTCTCCTTTTCCATGGACCTTGAGAGTTTGGAGATTTGTCAACACATACATCCTCAACATAAAGTGTGGATAAAAATAATAGAGGAAAAGAATCATGAGCTGACCATATATGTCAGAATTCTTCCTCTCTGGAAGAATACACAACAGAAGCTGTGGTGGTCCTGGAAGTTTGGACTTTATGTATTCAATCATCTTGTCCACTCTAACAGGAGCTGGGTCACGTCTATTCTGGTTATTCTCTTCAAATACAAAAAATGGATCATTTATGACCTACAATAAAGAATTTTCTTTTAGAATAACAAATAATCAAATGCATAGATGTACATTATAGAAGTAGCTTTTTTTCTCTATAATTCAGAGAGAGGGTAATCTCACAATTCCTTTCATCTCTCCACACTTCAACATAATATTGACCAGGTACCGAGTGTCACAGCGAGCAGAGAAATTGCAAATAGCCCAGCGCTCTATTTTCACAGGTTGAATCAATTTCTACACATAGGTAATTGAGTTAAATTCAACATAAAAAATTCAAAGCTTGATGCCAGTGAAACAGAAAATACTTAAGAAGAACAGCACCTTGTTGTTAAAATTCCAACGCCCATTCCGAGGGAAAAAATCTTGTCCATCACCAACTTTTAGCTGCAGGATACAGAGAAAATGAGAACACACGAATTTCTACAGAACCAAAGAAACTAACCAGATCTATTAAGAAGCAACCAAAAAGGACTATGACGATGTTTTACCTTTGGGGCTGACAAAACACGGCCTTCAACCTGCACAAAGTCAGCACCGATTGATATTCCAGATGAACGAAGCATCAGGTCAGCATCATATTTACTAGTCTTCAGTGCCTGAGAAAATCAACATTTGAGGTGTCAGTAAGTTTAAGACCCAAAGATGAAACTACATCACATAGACGGCATAACTTACATCACGCAGAACTGACATCCGCTCTTGGGGCTTTTGCCGAGACTTCTCCACTAGCGAAGCCCTTTGCATACTGGATAAAGCTTTGGTATAGCGTTGCAATGAAACCAAGTTGCAGAGCTACAGGAGCAAAGAAGAATGAAAAAGAAAATTCTAATATTAACCTAAACAATAAATTATTGACGCAATTGTATCACCTCAAGTGGAAAGTAAGATGGACTCTTTGGTTTCCCAACATTGATGCATGGAAAATCTGCTGAATCGCGCACTGGTAAGTGTTTATATTCAGCAAAATAATTAGAAACCGTGATTTCCTCTCCATCACCATCCTGTCCTTTCTTTGTTTTCAGAAAGAACCTAGACACAAATGTAGAGTGGTAAGATTATTGCAAAGCAGTACTATATTATATCAGAAAGCAGAAAATGAGATGATAGTTTAAGCCTACTTCTTAGATTGCATAGATATTATCAGGCCAAAATAAATTACCTCTGCTCCTTGCATGGTTTGTCACTCAATCCAGTGATTTTGTACTCCATCTTAGAGGAATAGGTCGTTATTCTTAGATTCTTTAGCATCCTTTTAGCCTGGTATAAAATGAAAAAGCTCAGATCATGTGCAAAGCACAACCAATGTAATGTCAAAATTGAAGGAAACCACAATTACCTTAATCCAATCAATCTGGTAAGGAGTCTTAACATTTTGGTTCTCCATGAGGAAGTTGAGAACAGGACCAGGTTTCACGATCATTGTAGTAGATACATCTGCATTAAGACAAGGATAGTGATTAACTTGGCAGTAGAATCCCGAAATAAACAAGCCTTCTATTTCTTAGCAACTTACCCATGTTCAGAGACAGACCCCCTTGGGTAGCTCGAAAGCTTGAATGGAAACCCCTGCAGCCTAATACACCTGCTCCCAACTCTGCGAAGTTCCTCGGATTGTTATGGAAGAAAGACTGTCGGACAAGAAGACAACCCCTGCAGACAAAAAGCGTATGATGCGCCAAATAAGAGTGGACTGCCTGAGGAAAGATACAACAGTCAAGTACTTACTGCTTTGCTGCATTCTGCCTTAGTATGATATCAAGAACCCTCACTGCTTCCTGAAAATGCTCTGAGTCCTGACCTCGTAATGCATTTACAATTGCTTGCATTGGGATTTTAGTAGCAAAATTGACCTGCACCTTTAAAGTTTTGGATTGAAATTGCTTCTTAACTCTCTTCATATCTCCCGCACTCTCACCTGGGTTGGAACTACCTCCAGGGCTCCCAATCCTCCTATACATGTGTGTGAAATAGCCAATGTGATTAGCAAATACAAGAAAGCAAGGAAAATTTATTATGAACCCCAGGATAGTACCTGGTTGATGAGATGTCATCCAATACGACCAAGAAATCGAGTCTGTTACGAGGAAGAGGGCCAACAGTAAACAAGCTTTTCTCTCCATCATAAGCAAATTCTTTATGTTCCAGCTCCGAGCCATAAGTTTCTTTAACTTTGTCAAGAACTTTTCTGCCAATGCCTTTCCCATCAACTGGGGTTCCATCCTCATAAAGCATCGCAATCTGTATGTATCATCATTTAACACCAAATATTATTTTACAAACATCTATTCCTGCAAATGATAGGGCAAGAGAGAGAGCAGAGGGAATTACACTATAATGGAAGAAGTATCCATCAGACTTGTTCACTGCAACTTTGAAATGGTTGGTTAGAAGTGGAATCCTTTGCCCTTTAGATCCAATACCAGGCCTTGCCATGGGAACACGCTTTGGAGTTGATGGATTTTTAATTAAGTCGAAAGATTTTTCTTCTGCTACAATGGGGACAACATTTGGAGGGATAATGGGTGGTGGAGGAGGAAGTCCATCGCCTTCGGGATTTGAAGACTCCATTTCTTACGACCTACTCAACCACAAGAGTCATAAATAACGTAGTTAGGTAAAATGCATGCAACGTAAAAGAGTTTATAACATCGTCGAACTTGGAAACCATTATCTCTAGCAAATTAAACAACTTGGCAAATCGCCACATTATGCTTTAGTTAGGCTGCAAGTTTACTACTAGAGGTACCATTTACCACTTCGGATGAATTGGATGAAAAGCACTAAATATTTATTATCAGACTCTATAGAATTGGAAAGAAAAGAACACAAGAATGAATACAATCATTTATTTACCACCGTAAATGATGATTTCAACCATTTATTATATATATATATATATATATATGCAGAAATATATACCACCGTAACTATAAATATGATCTTGGGACCAACATAACACCTAACACTTAGGCACTAAAATTAACAAATCGCAATTCAATTCCATCAAAGTGTCTTTGCTACATAAAACTGCTAGATAATGTGAAAAAAATGTAAGTTCTGGCCTATATAACTATTCAATACATCACAACTTTCTAAGATGCAGAAGATAATAGGAAAGGAGTTGAAAGATCTTATTTCTCCATTTATATAACCTCACCAAGTTATATGAAGAAGAAACTAGCTAGGAGGTAAATTCTGAATTGTACTAAATAGTTAAAAGTTAAACCAGCCTTTATAGAAATGATGCTACTAGTAATACATAATAATCTGTTTTTAAAGGGATATCCAAGAAAGGAAAAGGTTAGAGAATCAGGAAATAGGCTATATTTGACCACCATTTCACATAGCATATTGACAGTAAAATTTTTATAAAAAAAACAATAAAAATAGGAAAACTGTTAATGCTTACGGCTACTTGAATGGGTACAGTAAATTATTAAATACAAGAACTAAAAGAAACACTTGAAGCTATTCTATTTGTTAAACAAAAATCAATGCAAAAGCTAAAAATATTCTGCCATTAAAACAGAGCATAAAGAAAAAAGAAAGGAAAACAGAAACAACCCATCTATCAAATCTAAGCCAAACCAAAAGTACATAGTGCATTTTAAGGAAGAAAAAAAAAGAAACATATATATATGTGGTGTTTTAATCCAATAAAAAATGTCATCAAGGGCAAAAACTAAAACAGTCACCAAGAACAGTAGTATTATAGAAACACATAAGCACAAGCTATAATAAATAAAATAAAATCCAATGAAAGCATGAAAATGGCAGTAATGAAAACAACACTCAGATAGAATTCTGTAAACAACATCCAAACAGACTGTTGTAGAAAAGCACTTTTAAAATTTGTACTGTGACACAAATTTAAAAAGATTAAGAAAAAGGACCTTTCTATTTGCTGACAGAAAGACAGATATTTTTACAAAAGAAAAACAAGAAACAAGGAAACCTAGCAACAGCTGCTGCTAAGAAGCAACACCGAAAAAATATTGCATTGTGGAAGATGGCATAAATTTTGAACGACACCTGCTTTCAGATGCCAAACTTTACAAAGCAAAATACCCACACAAAAAAAGCCCAAGCAAAAACAGATATATTTATATATACACACATGCAAACACGCAAATATGCACTCTCTGTACTCCGACCTAGTCGTCAGAAACCAAAAGGCAAACCTACAAGCACAGTAACAAAAAAAAAAGAAAAGGAAAAGACAAACCTACCCACTAGTAACACCAGCTTCAGAGTTCCAAAAATGGCGGTCAAAGAAGAAAAAAATATAACGGAGAAAGAGAAAAAGAGAGACATGTGAGAGCTGTACCACCAAAAATTTGAAAACCCACAAACACAGAAAAGGAAACAAAAGACAAATCCACAAACGCAGAATAGGAAAATCCAAGAAAGCGAAACCCACCACAAAAACAATGTCTGGCTTTCACGAATTAATCATAGATAATACAGACCTCCAAGACTATAAAATAGTAACAATAACCACAATGTGAAAAGCCAAATGAAATTTTAAAAAAATGAGAGAAAAACTCAAAAGCAAATCCGATTCTTCAGAAACCAAAAACTAACACACAAACACAGGCTCGCAAAATTAAAGCAAGTAAAAACAAGCCTCATAGCTCTAAAACAAAGGCTCCTTCACGTAGTAAACGGACAAACAAAATCAAACAAGACAAGTCGACCCACTACTCAAACAAAGCATCAGAGCTCTAAAAATAGCTTTTTTCACTTATGGTAAGCATATATACTGATCAGGAGCCAAACCCAGCAGAAAAAAAAAATGGCGAGAAAGAGAGAGATAGACCTGTGAAAACCCAAAAGAATTTGTTTTTTACTTTTTTTTAAAAAAAATGAGAGAAACTCAAAAGCAAATCCCATTCTTCAGAAACCAAAATCTAACACACAAGAACAGGCTCACAAAATCAAAAGAAGCTAAAACGACCCACTACTAAAACAAGCCTCGTAGCTCTAAAACAATGGCGCTTTCACGTAGTAAACGGACGAACAAAATCAAACAAAGCATCAGGGCTATAAAAATAGCTTGTACACGTATAGTTAGCAGAGTACACTGATCAGAGGCCAAACCCAGCAGCAAAAACAAAAAATGGCGCGAGAGAGAGAGAGAGAGAGAGAGAGAGAGAGACCTGTGAGGCTTTGAGAGCACACAGCAGCACCACCCCAAGAGAGAAAAACTCAAAGGCAAAATCCCAGAGCGCCTTAGGGTTTTTCGCTCTTCTTTTGGTGGCGGGTTTTGGGTTTTTGATTAGGAAATATTGTACGGTATTTATATACAAATGGAATCCCAACGGCGTAGGCAACGAGCGAGAGAGAGGGAGGGAGAGAGAATCAGCAAAAGGCTGCTGCTTGCTCGCATGCCTTTTTTGCTGCGTTCTTCTTGTGACGCGGTAGCTGTACGGACGAGGAAGGCCAGTAATATAATGACGCGTGTCTGGTGCGCCCTCGGATGCCCCAGCTCCTAAATTCTAGTTTCCGGTCTTGACCCTGCCTTTTCAATTTTATCCCAACTTTTGTCTCCTTAACGACGTTATGACGCGGTTAATCAGCTCTCCGGTTTTGTCCTCATCCTCATTTCTTGAGAAAAGGAGCAACAATTTTCCTTACAGAAATAAAATGTAAATGGATAAAATATTTAATATTCCAAACTTTTATTAAGAGATTTTTTTTTTTTTTTTGGAAAATCAAATCATTATGTTTGTCCTAACAAAGATTAATTAATTTTCTTTTAAAAGTTTAATTAGGTTTTTGGTTGCATGTTTGTGAGGGATTGAACTTCCGAAACTTTCCTGTAATAAAGAGTAATAATGGACGAGGGCTTGTTTTAAATGTTGAGTCCAAGCAGAGGATCCAGATCTATTCTAATTTTATTGTTATCAGAGTTTGATTTTTCCACTAAATCTTTGATAAATCAAACAAATTCAAGACATGGAATGGAAGAAATCCATGACAATAAGGAAAAAGTGAAAGAAAAAAAAAATCTAAATTTGAATATTTTATTTTAAATTTACATGTAAAAGTGCAACAACCTAGCGCTTTTATTGTAAGTGGCACCATAACACCATCCCAATCGAGAAATGGTCGACCACAGTATCAACTATCCATAACAGCCTACTACACTAAATTGAAGGGGCTCTGGAATGAACTTTGCAGTGGTGCCGTGAAGGAGATCATGGAGCTTGAGGAGCAAGAAAAGATGATACAATTTCTAATGGAAGTCTTTGATACATTCATGATAGAAATTCACATGATCATTATATTGTTTATAATAAGCAAACTTGGAATTATTTTTTTTTCCAACATTGCCCTAATATCCCGCAACAAAATGGAGTCGTAAAGCGAAAGCATCGCGGCCGCTTACTCAAGGTTGGACGTGCTGTATGTTCCCAAGTCCATCTTCTCACACAATTTTTGGGAAAAAGTATCCCCACTGCACCCACTCCGGTACTTTCCAAGGCCTCACAATATGAGCAGCCAAAGAAATTAGGGAGGGAGTGAGACCCTGTAAGACTGTGAAAGGGAAAATACTACCACAATTGTGAAAGACCCCAAAACCAAAATCCCTGCTGCGTCACGTGCCTCTGGTGTTACTTGCGTAATAAGGTAAGAGTATCTGAATAGGTGTGATGCTACAAATGTCATGTCCAGTAGTCTACTGCCGCGTGTCTCTCCTGCCCGTTTGCTTCCCCAACCACTCATATTCTAGCTTCCCATTTTTGACCCTACTTTTTGATACTATTGGCTGGCTCTGCCACTGTACCTACGTTTACTGTTCAGCTGCGTTTCCATTATTAAAATATTTTAATTTGCCTTATTTTCGAAGGATCTGGATCTTTGAATTTCTCTGTTAGTATCTATTTACTTTTGTTCTAAAAATACCAACTCAAGGAGTAGCTAGCAATGTTGATTTGATAGGTCACATAGGATAAAAGCCTCTCCAATGGAAGTAGCAACCCATGTAGCAAATTTAAAAATTAGAATCATAACATGTGAGTTACTTCATAGTAAATTGTTACAAAAAAAAATATATGGTTTTCTTCTTTCCGTAAAAGCCAAAAGTAAAACCTTTATATATAAAATAAATTGAAATTTTTTTTAAAGGTAAAGTAAAACTAAAGAAGCAAATAATAGATATCGTGAATATATTTAGTTTTTAACATATAGTTTTTCAATGCTTATCTATCCTTCATACTAGTATTTTATTTAATGGCACCTCAACCTTATAATAATTGGTGGACTTACTTTTCCTCCCCGAAAAATCCTTTGGGGTGGTCGGAATTTGCCCCTCTGTTAGTGCCCACCATGTGTTCGATTAAATGTCTGAAAGAGACTTTGTAATATTCAATTTCATTTCTGCTTCACATAAACTTGTTGTCTCATAAAATTCTCTTAATGGTATCTCTATTTAATAAATATCCATGAGCTTTAATCCCCTTATTTGGCATATGTCCTTTCTTAGTTTATCAACTTATAACTTAATTTTGTTTATGCAGATTTCACATTTATTTATTCAAAGTTTCTCTCTTCCTTGTCGACAAATGTAGATGGGTTCATGGACTCCTTGCACTTGAATTTCACGCACATACTTTTAGTCTTTTAAATGTTGCCCCTTCCCTGAAAAATTCCTGAGTGCACTAGTGTTTATAATTCTATCTCTGCCCCTGGTTGAAGGGACAAAGTTTTACACTATAGCAAATGTTAGTATCAAAGTGCCACAAAGGTTAGCAAATGACACTTTTAAAGAAAACATTTGCTTCCTCCATTGGAGATGCTCTGAGGGCTAAAAACTTAACAACATTTTCCTTCACTTTTTTTTCTCCAATTTAGATTCAAACAATAGAACTCTTTCCTTTTCTCTACGCCCATGGCCTCTCTTCTTCTCCATTTTTACAGCAAATCTTGTTCCTTCATTCTTCTCCATTTTTACTTCAGACAACATAATTTATTTATTTTCTCTCACAAAATCCAACAACTCATCTCTGTTTAATCACTCTTATTCTCTATAAATACCAGACTTTATCATTTGGGTAGAAAACTTGTCTAAGTATCATAAATCCAATATCAAGGAGAAAAAAGATAGTCAAATTTGTGAGGGCTACAAAATCTCAAAATAGAATAGTGACATCAAATATGGCTGAGAAGAAAATTAAAAACACATTGGCTTCATTCGTAATTTTTTTTTTAAATGACGAACAAGGCAATTGCGAAGGCCCACACACAATTTAAAAGCACAAGAGATGTTAGATGCTGTGGTTGAGAGTCAACAAAACCATTAGATGTTGGAATCTTATTATAGTAAGTCTGAAAATCGAAACCTTAATGGCTTGAAATTTATAAATGAAAAGGAACGTCGCTAGTATTTCCCATCATATTTTTAAACACATCCCAATTGTTACTAACATAATAATTACTTCACCATTCCATTCTTAAACTCAATTAGAAACCGTGTTAGTTTGTTATTTACTAAAGTTACAATAAACTTTGTATTTCGGCCAACAATAAAAAAGGTTATGAGCTTATAGCTCAAATGGTTAAATGTTGATTGAGGTTTTTTTTTTTTTTTTCTTTTTCATTTTATAATTAGGAAAGAGAAAATGGGTCAAGTTGTGTCTCATGAAAACATGACTCAAATTCTTATTAATAGGGATAGCACTATTTTGCTATCCCCGACCAATAACGCTATGACACGCCTTAGCATGACAACACTTTCACGTGTCATAGCATTATTGGCAATGGATAGCAAAACAGTGTTATCCCCATTGCAACTAAGTTTTTCTCCATGCTCCCAGGCTTTATGGAAAGCAATGATTATTCTTTTAGCCCTTACCGTAATGAAAACCTACTCAAATCAAAACTATATATGTATTTTTGTTTTCATATCTGAAATACTTTGACAACATTTTTCACACCTGATATTGTGATTAGGATTAATTCTTAGACATGGATATATGTACCATCATAAGGCCAAATATTAGTTCTTCGAAACAGATATGAAATTGAAACCAAATCTTCAACAAAAGTACATGGAATTGATCACATTTGGAGCAAGCCTGGGTAACTCGGGCACGGCCACACCACCAGCATGGCTTGAGGAAGTCTCTGACATATCATCAAACTTGATGAACTGTGAAATCTGGGCTGCAGCAAGATGGGCGTAGCAGATTGGAGCAACTGCAATATACAGAAAACGGCAAATTCTCAAGAATCTCCTAAAAACACCATGCAAAGAAACAGGGCAAAAGAGGAAAAATATAGACTAAAGATGTAACTTCAAAAACCAACTTTTAATGTTTAATTTTCTTCCAATTTATTGACCTTTTGTTCAGACAACTACAAGCTCACCACAAGAAAAATAAATCATAATTTATTGGTTCCCAAATTTTTCCAAGTGATCCATAAGTTGGAAGACAAATCAGACTACAAAACAGGATCTTACCTACAGATACAGCTGTAGTGCTCCTTTGGTACCTGTACAAAATTCAAAGTACGGCGTCAGGTTTGAAAATCATGCATAAATAAACAGAGCCCATTCTCACCCAGGTAGATGTATTTGTACAGATTTTCCTTACTAAATGTGAAAGATGAGTATACTTACACATATGAAAGCGAATGAACAAGTTCTTGCACGTTATCGGCTGAAAAGCCTAGTTCATCATATAGAACATGATAATGAGCAGGCCGAGTAGTCCCCTACATAAACAATCCGAAGTCGGTTGAATTTCAGAGTCTAAAACAATAGATGCAACCATTTTGCTTATTCATTTCCTCCAAACTCAAAAACATGGAGAAACTTATCAACGAAAAAGAAACAGGCTTTGGTTTAGAATACTCACAATCATCCCAGCATGAGCACACAAGTAGAAATCATTGTTCTTGGGATGGCAAACTTTGTTGTCAATAATCGTCCCTAAGTGTAAGTAATCAAAAGATGAGCGTGATTTCGAAACAGAAGCACAGTTTTTCTTTTCTATTCTGAGCATTTAACTGGTGGTAAAATGACTAACCAGGTGGCACATTTTCAGGAGATCTAGTCTGGAAAAATTTTGTATGATGATTCTTCTGAGCAACAATAACCATGAACTTAGGAGACCAGCTCTCATCAAGGAATTTGCAGGCCTGCAAAACAGAAAACACCTCAAAAAGTACAGTTAGAAATTTTCTCTTACAGATAAAGCAAGTAGAAAGCAAAATGTAGATTGGCCACAAGAAAACCTGAATAATCTGATCCAGTTCCACATTCAAGACTTGGTTGAACTGTGATTCACTCACTCCATCCCTAAATAAGAGAAAATCCAAGTAATAGGAAGATCAACAAGTGTTTGTATGA